ATAACTCTTTTATTTTTTAATTCGCTATATATAGGGAGAAAGCCCAGAACGCGCTGCATCTTTTGATATATTAACGTTGAACATCAGTTGCAGTTTAGGGGATAAAACCTATATTAGAAAAAAAAGTGACATTTTTTTTCACTACATTTTTGTATTTTGCACATATCTCGGCTTAGGAAAATGATATAACGTTGAATTTTTTTACAAAAGATGCGCCATGAAAAGCTGTGTAAAAAGTTGTATGATTGATTTCCTTTTGACCTGTTATAATGGTTTTTCTTATATTCAAAATGAACAACATGCATAACATTGTTACTTCTTATCATATTGAAAATTTTTGAGAGTTTTTTGTGTTTCATATATCTCGACTTGAGAAAATAATAGAATATTGAATTCATTTTTAAAAGATGTGCCATCAAAAGCTCTACAAAAGCTGTATGAAACAATTCCTATAGCGAATCAGAAAAGTCTTTCAAACATTTTCAATATGATGGGAAGTAACACTGTTATGTATGTTATTCATTTCGAGTATAAGAAAAACCATTAGAACAAGTCAAAAGGAAATCAATCATACAGCTTTTTATAGAGCTTTTCATGGCGCATCTTTTGGAAAAAAATTCAAGGTTTTATTATTTACCGAAGCCAAGATATATGCGAAATCAAAAATGTTAGAATATTATGGACATCCGGTATTGTAGTGAAAAAGATGTCACTTTTTTTTCTAATACATTTTTTATCCCCTAAACTGCGGCTGATGTACAACGTTAATATACCAAAAGATGCGGCACGTTCTGGGCTTTCTCCCTATATATAGTGAATTAAAAAATAAAAAAAGTATAGTATAGTAACAAAAACAAAAAAAAAACAGAAGGGGGGATTTCAATTGGCCCTCACAGCACTTGAAGATAGATGTCATCAACGACATCTATTTTTATGATTCTTTAAAATAAGTGATAATGTTAAATAAAATAATTCATCTTCAAAAAATAAAGAAAAAAAATTATTTTTATCATCTAGTAAAGAGAGTTAGTTTTTCTTTAGTTTTCATTCCACCTTAATAAAAAAAGTCATTTTTCTCATCTCGGACAGATAGAGTTAGTTTTTCTATAGTTTTATTCCATTCTAATATAAATAATCATTTATCTCAACTAGTACAGATACACTTTGTTTTCCTTTATTTCTATTCCATTTAAATATAAATAATCAATTTTTTCACTTAATACGAATAGAGTTTGTTTTTCTTTATTATTCATTCCATGTCAATAAAAACAAAATCACGTTTCTCATTTAGTAGAGATAGAGTTGTTTTTTCTTTAGTCTTTATTCCATTTTAATATATAAATAATCAGTTTTTCACCTAGTAGAGATTGAGTTAGTTTTTCTTTCTTTTTCATTCCATCTTATTAGGGGTACTGCATTAGTATTGCATTGATTTTAATGCTAACATCAATTTTTTTTGTTACAATCCTAAGACAAAAGTATTGCACTTTGTCTTGATTAATGTAATGTTAAAGCGAAGCGGCATTCCTGACTAGTTTTCAAGGATTTTGTTACAATTGGACTACAAAAACGTTGCAGCTACTGACAAACTAATTCAACAATTGTATTAATTAGATGATAGCTATAATGCCTTTGTATTCCAACTGGAACAAAAAACTCAAAACTAGCCAGGGATGCTGCTCCACTTGAACGTTACATTAATCAATACAAAGTGCAATACTTTTGTCTTAGGATTGTAACAAAAGAAAATTGATGTTAGCATTAAAATTAATGCGATGCTAATGCAGCATTCCTAATCTTAATAAAAAGAATTATTTTTCCGACTTAGTAGAAATATAGTTTTTCTTTAGTCTTCATTCCATCTTAATAAAAAAAAAACATTTTTCTCATCTCGGAGAGATAGAGTTAGTTTTTCTATAGTTTTATTCCATTCTAATATGAATAATCATTTTTCCCATCTATTGGAGATACACTTAGTTTTAACTTCAGTTTGATTCCATCTTAATAGAAGCAATCAGTTTTTTCCGTGAACTTTAGTTATAGATAGTGACCAATGACTTCAGATGCAGTAGATTGAGAAATTTTTTCTCTGTTGACTATGTTTTGGATAAGGATAGGCTTCTCAGATAGGGTGTATGGATCTAGTAGAAGGATTAAGTGATGTCCCAGTTTATCTTCGTTAAATATTGCTGTAAGGACATAGACATCTAATAAATTCCTTTTTAAATTCTTTCGTGGAAAACTCGTTCCTAGATCAGCTTTTCCTATGAGAGTCCCGGAGAGTT